TGAATAACTTACTATTATGCAGCAAGCTTGGATCGACGCTTAGACTTCTGCCCAAAAGTACGTCGTCCCTCAATGGCGGGTATCACACACCTATTCAATTTCAAAGATGCCTCATGTCATCCATAATGCATATGAGTAGATCGAAGAATCAGCAGAACACTTTATAAAAGCAGTAACGAGTAACAGAGAAAACACAAACAATATTATACATATCAGTGATGATGGTATATTTAGACTGGGCTTTTCGTAGTTGTTCTGCTTTATCAGAATGGAACATGAACTACAGCAGAATGCACCACTATCTTCTTACACACACATATATATATATACATATATACAAAAGCTCCTAGAAGGTTTGGAGAAGAAAGCAATTGATGTGGTGGCAGTTGGATTTAAATTTGGAGGTGGTCCCCAAACCTTATATTCCAAGTAATTCTTGTGGTTGATGTACCCAACCCTCCCCTTTTCTGATTGCAATATTAATTCATACAAACAATACAGAGACATATATATAAACTTATATATGTGTTCTGCCTCCACCAACTATATAGTAAATTTTACCTGTAAAAATAAAGTTTATGCTAATCACGTGCTTCAGGAACAAGTTGACATGCCATGAACAAACTTCCCACTTACAAAATCATGAAATTCAACATGCATTCTTCTTCGATGCTCGGAACTAATTTTACATAATTAAGCTCACATGCATGCTACACTAGTTCTTGGGGTATTCCAACCCGATTAAACCTCAAAGTCAGCTCAAACACTTCATTTATCCAAGCATAAAAAGAACAGCAGACAGCAATCGGTAGATGTGAATGCATAAAGCATTGGGTTCTGCTAATTAAATTTGTAGAAGAAATCATGCAAGACTGCCATAGATTCAGGTATTTTATTTGAGTTGTCAAATGAGTTGTGGAGGTTATGATTTGATGAGAAACATAAGGTACAATTTTGGCTAATTCCACCCGATCATGTCTAGATCAAGATTTCATAATTATGTAAAATTAGTTCCAGTGAAATCATAAGCTGCATTTTTATCCAGTGAAAGAAGATCAAGATTTCATAATTACATAATTTTCTTTCACTGGATAAAAATGCAGGAATAATTTCTTTCTGGAAAAGACTATTTCTCATCCACAAAGTAAGGCACAAGAGGAATAGATCTAATTATCAAGTAGTGTCAAGACGAACCATATAATTACAAAATCTCTCATCATCTATGTAACAATTTAAGCCCTAAATCTAACATTACGAACAAAAATTAAAAATCAGAAAAGCCTAACTAGGCAGAAAATAAAATAAAAAAAAACAGAATTAATCCCATATCCAAACTTACAGGAAAAGCTAGGGTTCGCGTTTGATGATGTCCGCGGGCAGCAGTGGAGCATGGTCAACGGCCGAAGACAGTGAGGAGGTGCGAGGTTCAGGGGTGTAGGGTGGAGGACAGCTAGTCGGTGAAGAAGAACACAAAGAAGAAGACGACGACGAAGAGGAAGAAGAAGAACCAGGAGATCGACAAAGGAAGAAGAAGAAAGAAGACGAACGGAGGGGGTTGCAACACGATTGCTGCTAATTAGAGTTATGGTAGATTTTTATTAATTTTATAATACTTTTATTTTAAAATAAATAATTATTTTAATTTTAATTTGTATATTTTAATATATAAGTGTTATATATGTATTATATATGACATACATATATATATGTAAATTATATGATATATTATTCTAGATTATTTTAGATTTATTTTGAAATTTTATTATTTTAAAATAAATAATTATTTTAATTTTAATTTGTATATATTAATATATAAGTATTTAATTTGTATATATTAATATATAAGTATTATGTATGTATTATATATGACATACATATATATGTAAATTAATATAATATATTATTTTAGATTATTTTAGATTTATTTTGAAATTTTATTATTTTTAAATAAATAATTACCTTAATTTTAATTTGTATATATTAATATATAAGTATTTAATTTGTATATATTAATATGTAAGTATTATGTATGTATTATATATGACATACATATATATATGTAAATATGATATATTATTTTAGATTATTTTAGATTTATTTTGAAATTTAAAATAAAATTATTGTAGTTGTAACGGAAATATACCGCAACAAAAGAATAGGTGTTGACCATACCAAAAATATCATTTGTTACGGTAATATCTGGAACAAAAAATAGCTTTTGTAGCAAGAAAATTGTAGCGACCAAGATTTCGCTACAAATAGCCTTTTTTTTTGTAGTGCTCCTTGGACTATGGTGCCTTCATCCCCGAACAATGTTTCCATAAGGTCAGAAATTGTTGTGTCCATTGAGTTGAAAACAACTACCTCCATTGAACTGCGGTGCTTCCACAAAGCAGAGGAAGGTTGCCTCCACAAGATAGAAAGCAAAAACTTCCACAGACCATGGGATAACTGCCTCAATAGGCCCTATGTTAATAATTTTGTACTTAACATTAGTGGAGGACCTATGCACTTCCATACTTTATTCAAAATGCTCCATGGAATAAACCAACAAGAGGAAAACCGAAGATTCTATTTCGCTCGAGGCTGTTGGGGACACATCCCCGTGGACCGGCTAGGAGTACAATGGAAACAAGTCAGAGTAAACCGCAGATCTAGTCCAGAGGCAATAGAAGAAGTTCAGAGCAAATGGAACCCAGTCCAGAGGCAATGAAAGCGGTTGGGAGCTGATGGAAGGAGGTTACCAGGTGGTTAGGAGCTGATGGAAGGAGGTTACCAGAGAACTTATGGAAGGAGGTTACCAGACAGTTGAAGGTAGCGGAAGGAGGTTACTAGGTAGTTGGCGGTAGTGGAAGGAGGTTACCAGGTGGTTGAGAGTGCTGGAGGAATAATTGGAACTTCTACTTTTAGTGGAAGAGGCGGTTATTCTATCTTAAAATTAAAACTAGGAAAAAACACATCACACACACGCACAAGAAGATGAACTCGTATATTTCTCTGTTTCATTTTCATATTTTAGTTCATATTTATGCATTTTAATTTCAATTACATGCTTTTACGTTTCTAGCATATTTTTATCCGTTTTCCAATAGATTTATCCGAGTTCTAGAGATGTTAGTTTAAATCCATCGAAATCGATCGTTTAGGCTCGTAGCCTTGTTTAGGCTAAAAGCCGTGCAGGCTCCACCGAAGGAGCCGCCTCCAATCCGACAACGGACAGGCTCTTTGAGTACTTCCGGAACCCACACCGAAGAATCGACGAACAGTCTTGGAACCTCAGAATTTTAGGTTCCAAGTGTTAGATTATCTACTTTAGGTTTAGAAGAAAAGTTGGGTTTAAATTGCATTAAAATAACAAAAGGGTCGTTAGTGATTTTTAGGGCAGAATTGAAAAATGAATTATATGCAACCTTTGTTATACCTGTGAATGTATGTTCTGATATAGATAATTCTGAATTACGGCATAAAAGGTTAGGTAATATTAGCAATAATGGCTTTAAAATTCTTCATGAATGGTTATTTCGAAAATGTGATTTTTTTATTGTTCCCCTTTATAATTTATGCAAACCTGAAAAATTAAATAAATTTCAATTTTCTTCGAAAACCCCTTAAAATTATACTTTTTCAAAACAATTTTTTGAATGTATACATATAGATATATGTGAACCTTCTAATGAATCCACTCACAGTGGGAGTAGATATATCTTAACTGTAGTTGATGACTTTTCTAGAAAAATTTGGATTTTCTTATTGAAAAATAAACCTGATATGTTTAAGGTTTCAAGAATTGGAAAATTAAAATTGAAATTGAAACTGACAGAAAAATTAAATATATTAGAACTGATAATAGTTTAAATTTCTGTAACACCTGGTTTAGTAATTTTTTTGTGCAAAATTATATCAATTTTGAATCTGTCCCCAAGGCATCCCAATTTAGTGGGGTTGCTAAGAGGTTAACTCAGACTCTTTTTGAAAGAGTTGGATGTCTTTTGATGTCGTCTGGTTTACCTAGAAAATTTCTGGGGTGAATCTGTTGTAACAACAACCTATCTTTCAAATCGAACACCGTCTATCCCCCTTAATGGATTCCTGAAAATAAATGGTTGGGTAGAATAGTTGACATATCTAATGTTCGTGTGTTTGGGTGTCTTGATGTGATACATATTTGCATTGATAAATTTGAAATGAAAACTGAAAATTGTGTTTTCTTCGGCTATGGTGGGTATAGATTGTGATTTATTTCTCTCCGGGGTGGCTTGTTTTGGTTTAAGTTCTAAAACCGGATTTAAAACTACTATTAGTAATTATCACTACAAAATAATCACAAGTTACGATGGAATTATTCTGTCGCAACTAGACATTTTTCTGTTGCAAATTTAAATTGTGTTGGATTTTACGTCCAAATAAGAACCGTCGCAAATAATTGGTTGTAAATCCGAAATGACCATATTGAGGCTCCGTCACAAAAAACTGCAGCAATATTTCAAGCGAATAATCTCTTGTTAATTTCGTCGGAACATTACAGAATATTGCAATGCATTTATTTTGTTCATAATTCTGTCGCAACATTACATAATATTGCAATGAATTGGTTTTGTTGCTAATCCCCATTGCAATACATTAATTATGTTGCTAATTCCGTCGGCAAAATTTCTACCTCTATTTAATCTTTTAGCTTATTTTTATCTGTGTTTTTCCAAAATTTTATATAGCTAATACTAATTCAATCCTCCACAATTAACCAATTTAAAAACTCAATTAATAACTCTCATCAAACATGCAAAAACTAAATAAAACTATATACAAATTTCAAATTTAAATGGAATCTAACAAACAACATACAATATAATATGAACAAGATGTATTTAGCAATGATGGCGATCACAAAGAAGATCACATATTAAAATTATAATTCACAAGTAATTACATCTATTCCCATCCAATATTTTCATGCAAAACTGATACCATACCCCCAAGAACAACTAAATTTAAACATAAGAAAGTGATTGCATTAAAAAAAATAATAATATATATATATAATAACCTAGGTGATACACGCCTTTCGCACAAAAGCATTAAATTTGGTTACACAAGAACTGAATTTTGATATTGTTTCATTGAGTATCTGTTTAAATTAAACACCCAATAAATAAAGTTGGTACTTGAAGTATCTATTGCTCTTTGGAGGTTAGAACTTAGAACGAATCCTATGCATAATAATCCAATAATTATCACAAACATCATGGAACTCAATTCTCTTATTTGATCGCAGCAGCCAAAGAATTTATGTTGTTAGCTATCTGTTCAGAATAATCACTTCAATTGAAGGCATATAACCCATTGGCAAGGCACCAAATAACGATGCCTGCTTCCTGGAATCAATATTTGGCACATTAGAGGCCAACGACAATGCCTTTTGTGCCCTCTGAGCCTGTCTTTCCTTCTCTGTATCTACCCACTTGACCGCCAAAGGTATAGTCGAACCCTATTGCAGAAGCTATCAACATTAATGTTTGATGCATTTATTCAGTGGGATGGTGAAATCAAATAAGCAAACCAACAGCAAAAGGGGTTAATCATATAAACAAAAATATGGAGTCTAGAGAAGGAGATGAAGAAAGAATGCATCTATAAAATAGTCCACTGGTTTAGACTAATAAATTTCTCGCATAGAGACACACAAACAGGAATTGAGTAACATTCAGAACAAATCCAGCTCTTCATAAAAATATTCACCATAAGCAAATGTCCATTTCATGGGTTTTTAACATCAAGGCTCAAATTTATGCCCCAGGAATAATAGAAAATCGACTACTTATAATAGCATTGATGAGTTTAAATCAGTCTTTCTGGATCTTAAATCCAAAATTTTAACTAAAACAGTACTGCTAAGGTTGATAAATGGTGATTCCTGTGGTAAAGATTCAACATTACAAGATTATATACACAACACACCAATTCGAGAAAGGTTATTGTTTACGCACCTCCATGTTATGCTTTCCATTGAGGACTTCTATAGATGTCAGTGCTTGTTCTTTTGTCTCAAATTTCAAAAAAGCACAACCTACAAAAACTAATTTGTTAGATCAGAAGTTATAAGAATATATTAAATCCCATCACTCAACAATTATGCGAAAAGCTGAATAGCCTCACATGCCAATCTTAGGTCCAAATGGAAAATAAGATAAACTAAGCATATGCTTAATTTAATGAGTTTTGAAAGGGATCATAACCTACAGATGTCTTTCAATTTTTCCGCCATAACAATTACAATATTAAGCTAAGACATGCTATCAGATCTTCATCAAAGAAATGCTCAATGTTTCACTTGTACAAAGTTATATAGCATAGTTCTTTTGCTTCAAATCTTCATGATTATTTAAGAAATAGAACAAAGAAATTTGCTAGAGGAACAATAGCATATAAAAAATAGTTGTTGACTAGAACTATAAAACATGTAAGCATTAGCTTGAAGGTGCGACAATTTTATCCTTAAGATAAAATAAACAAACAAATAAAGGTTACAGGGAACTGACAACCATATTCATCAGATGTCAGGTCACCCAACTAGAGGAACCTTCAAAATACCGAGTTGCCTTAACAACAGAGCAGATCTGGCCTCGAGTGAAAATCAGACACAAAATCCCCAAACTGAGAACACCAATTTTTTTTTTTTTTTTTTTTACTCTATGCTCTTTGAAAACTACAAAAAAATCTCCCAACAATAAACTTTAACCTAACATAAGGTTAAGGATTGAGCTTACAAACCCTCCGACAAAACTACAGAAGAGGAAAATAAAGTTGCTCACCTACGCCGCCGGAGAGTCGCAGTTGTTGCTGAAACTTCTACCGAGAAAAATTAAGCTTCCAAAGTCCCTATATGTGGTGATAAAACTTGAGAGACGATCGGTGTGTTTGCGTCGGTGGGGAATTGGGTAGGTGATGATGTGATTTGAGGAAGCTATTGGGATGATAAATATTTGTTGGCTGTGATGGAATAAATATCCATTGTACAATTCCTTGCAAAATTGCAACGGATCTGATTATTCGTCATATTCAATTTAGTATAATTATATATTTTATGATGGAATATATTTGTTTTTGCAAATTCTGTTGCTAAAATTGCAATAGTTTAAATATTTGGTAGTCTAATTAGTAGCTATTTTGCGACACAATCAATTTCTTTGTAAATTCCGTTGTTGAATTGCAACTTCTTGTTTTTGTCTTAACATTTCATTGCAAAAATTGTTAATTACAACGGATTATATTTATCATTGTAATTTCCATGGCAATGTTGTGAGGGAATGTAAACCGTTGCGGAATTCAATCGCAATTTGCAATTTTTTTTCTATTGTATGTGACATTTAAAGAATGTTGTATGCCATGTTTAAATATTGGAGAATCTGAATTGGTTGATTATGGAACTATTGAAATTAATACTGGTTTTTTTTAATATTAGAAATAAGGTGGAGCATAATTTGATTGATATACAAAAGGAGAAATTAAACCCGTAAAGTCTTATTTTCGTTTTGATGTGCTGATATTCACCATGTTGTCTGTGAATCCAAAATTGTGCAATTTGTTGACATTGAAATTGCTGAGTAATTAACTGTAGTGTTGCTGAAAGTGTGTATGTTCTAAGAAACGAAAATTCAGAGGTTGACAGAGTTAGAGATTGTGATTTTAATTGTGATGATATTAATTCCGTTTCTGATGAAAATTGTGTTCAATCGGTTGAAATTGTGCGAATTGATGTTGAAACTGATAATATCAAATTTGAGAGAGAAATTAATAATGCTTTTTTATAGTGTTCAAAATGAGGTGGAGTTTGCTTTATATAGTGAAACTGATATTTTCGTTAATGATTTTCCAATTTTATCTGTTGTTGGCCAGCTTGTTGTGAGTAAAATAGAAAATACAGTTTCTGGAATTGAAAGCAATGTTGGAATTGTTTCAAATCATAGTAATAAGATTGAAAATTACCTATTGGTTAGATATGAAGTTAGAAATAGTCCTAAAGTATTCTTTATGTTTGGTAATTTTGATTCATCTTCTTTACCTAGAGGTACTCATAGTAGGAAATTGTTTACTCCCAAAAGTAAGTCTCAATATTTAGTGTTAAAAGAAGATAAGAGCTCATTGGTCAATAATAATTGTTTGAAAATAGTTCCTAACGTTTGCTATTGGTTTCTCTGTATTATGTTATCATTGGTTGTGAATGATATCAAACTTGTAAAGGTTGCTACTATTATAGATACAATATTCTGGAAAATTAATAAATTTGCATCTAGTTGGAAAATAATATGTTTTAATACATTTGATTAGCTGTGTTCTACACCTGTTCTACACTTGTTTTTCGTAGGTAAGTAATCCAAAATTATGGGCAATGATGACCCCAGCCACTCGGATTAAAATTAGGTGGAGGATTTGTTGGATTTTAATTCAATTGGATCCACCCAAAAACACAATCTCACCTAATTTGCAGCCCAAAAGAATCTTGGCCCCATGGTGCATAACCCATATTAGGCCCGCGACCCGCAACCCGTGACCCAAGTCTTTATTACATTTAATCCTCACCGTCCAATCTAGGATTGAGATCTTGGTCGTTCATCCTATTTTGACCTATATATATATATATATATTGAGAGGGGGAGAGGCGCCGTCACTAATATTCATTCTCTCAATCCTCTCTCTACAATTCTCTCTTCCCTCACTAGCCTCTCTCATTCTTTCCACACACTCTCTCTCCGGTGGCGGTTTGCGACGGTTTACGGCAGTTCACGGTGGTGCCTTCCTCCTATAATCTTGTGGAGCTCCTTTGGCATGACTCTTTCCCCCTGTTTATTGTTGTTCGTAGCCACAAGGGCTCGTTCAACGCTGTAGGCATTTGGTTTGTTTCTGTTTCGCCTTGTATCTTCCTGTGGGGGTATTTTTCTTTGTGTATTGCGGGTTTAGGGCCGATTCCTTTGTGTTCGTCACATTTTAGGTGTGATTTGTGTTGATTTCTGTCGAAAAGTGGTTTTGGGGGCTGAACCTACAACAAAAACTAGTTCAAAGTTTATTTATATTTTTCGTTGTTTTTTCGTTAACAAAATCTCATTTCCGATCCTTAAATTTCATTAAAAGCGGTATCAGAGCTTTAGCCCCTGTCATAAACTTTGTTATTTCCTTAAGCCAATACTGTATATCTTCTCCATCACAGCCACTATTGCAAATCCGTGTAGCTTTCGGGCTATGGGCATTCGAGGTTGAGACTAAGTGCGCTTCTGCCTTGACTGTTCGGTAATCATTATCGCCACCCACCCTCCTCTGCTTTCTCTTTCTCTGAGGAGCGTTCACTGCCATCTTTCTTTTCGGCATTCTATTACAACGCTGCCCTGAAGCCTTCACTAGCGCGCTATCCTTTTCAGTTTCACTTCTTTTCTGATTCTTCAGTTTTTGCCTCTTCGTCAGAGTAAAGTCTTGATCATCCTCATCATCCATGAAGTTCCCCATTGCGCCAGACAAATCACTCAACTCATACGACTGCCATTTGTTGGTGCTACTCAGAGATCGAATCCGACCTCCAATGCCAGCTGAATTGTCACTATGTACCTGAATGCCAACATCGGCATTTCCTCCGCAGACAGAATCCCGCAAATCCCCATTCAAATGAACCACTTCTTTCCCCTTCTCTACAGGAGCCATTGTACTGGAGGGAGTGTCGGCAATGCCCCGACTGGAGTGATCCTCTAGTTCAGGGACTGTCACTTCAGGCCCAAGTAGTGAAGCATAAATGTCTGTTCGATTCCTCCGATGATCCATAGAGGACAGGTCCTGGTTCCTGTCGGTGCATCCTTCAGTTTGAGTTGTTTCAAGCTCTTAATCCCAAGAATTAAATAGCTTAATGTATTTAATGTGATACTGTTTCAAGCTCCATAAATTGAGCTGTTTTAATGTAATAAATGTCTACATTAGGTTTTTCGATAGAGTTTTTGGAGACTCTTGAAGTTTTGAAAGTTTGAAAAAAAAAATTAGAATTTAATTTGATATTTTGTGGAAAAAAAATGTATTTAATGTGATACCTTTCTAAAAATAAATAGTGTCAAATGAATGAAAATTGGTTATATAAACAAGGCCATATTTGTTTTTTCCTTCAAGGTATCCTTTCTTATTTTTACTTTTTTTTTTACTTTTTGTATTTTTTGACAACTGCAAACAAAGTGCAAATAGAAAATAAAATAAAATGATAAAATTTGATGGCCTTAAAGTGGGGATAAAAGGATCGAATTCACTATGCAAGTTTGTTCATTGTTGAAAGTATCTTGCACAATCACTAAACATCATATTTTGCAACAATCACTTTTTTGGAACTTTGAGAATAAGTTGTGCTTGTTGATCATAGGTTTTTAGCATCCACCATCAACAAATTCTAATTGATTACCTTTGAGTTTTTCAACTTTTTGAACAATATTGGATCTCATTAGTTTTTTAATCCTTCTGCAGTATGCACTTCATACTGAATCTATTATCATGCTTGAGCTCTTTTGAGCGCCAAATAACATCCTTTCTAGTCACATCATTTGCTAATTTGAAACATTTCATTTCATAGTGTTTATGAAAACCACAGTATCAGCAATCATTTGGTTGTTGTAACAACAGTCTAGTATTGTGCTCTTCTTTTCCAAAATTTAGAATATGTTTCTATTTGTAGCATTTCTTTGGATCTGATGATAACTTTTTTGCTTGTGAGGCTACTCTGGAATTTTTAGATTACATAAGAGGTCACCTTTGACAAATATAGTAAGCTTTCTTTCATAATAGTCACAATATCCAAATTATTTGTATTCACATAGTGTTTCCCCGGCGGATAGGACCTCATATATCTTTTTATTTCCTTTTTTTTTAGTATTTTATTATTATTTTTTTAACATTAGAATTTCAGCCTTCAGATCATCATTTTTAAGCATATTTAATTTGTGAAGTGACCTTCAATTGACCAATCTCTACATCAAACTTTTCATTCAGAGATTCCAACTTGTAAATAGTGTCAAGCAATTTCTTATTTTTCACAAGGTCTGTTTTCTTCACCAACCATTTTTTTCATAGGCTACTATAAACTCATCAATATTAGATTCCCTTGTTTATTCAAAAAATTTTCATAAGACACATCACCGTGAGTTTCCTTGATTAACCAATGTTGATTATAAATGCAAAAACTTCTTCATTATCACTCTTAACAGTATGATTAGAAACATCATCGTCATCACTTTAAACAACTTGATATGCATAGTTTTCTATTTTCTTGATGGTAGGATATTGAATCTTAATGTGCCCAAGTCCACCACATCCAAACCATGTAATGCCTTCCATGATATCACACAAATTGTTAACTATTTTATTTATTATTTTTGTTATTTCTTGAACGGAGATAGAATGGGACAGAGTATGTCGTGCACCATATTGCATAATCTTGCATTCACTGCCGCTCTATCATGTCAAAGCAAGAAATGATGCTCTCAACTGAATTAGAGTTGAAAATGACATGACTCTCTAGTGGAGCTGAAAACGACATGACTCTCTAGTGGAGCCGAAAGCGACATGACTCTCTACTAGAGCCGAAAACAATGGGAGTACTCTCCACAAAGTCAGAAATAACGAGATTCTCATTGCAATAACCAACATGGCTCTGGAGAAACGCAGCAAACAGATCGCAGAATCACAAACAGATGCGTAGACACAACTTCAATCGTAGACAAAATCACGGACTCAAGACAAAATCAAAATCAGAAAAAGAAAGGGCTAGAAAGTATAAAAAAATTTCAAAATTTGGAGACTTTAATCGTACATCCGAAGTTGAATATACATGGAGAAACGCGGGTTGGTAGACTATATCTACGGCAGGAGAATAATGGGCTTTGATACCATATTAGAAATTTTGGAGGAAACTAAAGAGATTGTCTTATTGATCATCAAAATAAAAAACCAATATATAGGCAATACAAAACAAACTTGATA